CTGTTGAGCGTGGCCGAAGTGGCCGACAGGGCGGTTGGCGCCCCGGAGACCGGAGCGAGGGGACAGACGACGAAGAGGGCGACGAGGGCGACGAGGGCGACGAGGCGATGGTACCGCATCTCGAAGGTGAGCCGGTTTGCCGGCTTTCCGGATGAACAGATGAAGAGATGAACGGATGAACGGATGGACGGAGAGCGGCTCGGTTGTCTGTGTTGTGTGTGCTTTCTGACGGACTGCCGACTGGCGCGGCTGTTCAACCGGCCGACTTTATATACACTTTCCGGGCTTGTACCGAGCCTGACTTTGGCCGTCTGTCGCATTGCTGTATCCAGGCCGCCCACCCTCCTCCTGGATGAGGACGACGACGACAAAAAGGAGGAGGAGGAGGGTTAGTTGTTGCCGGATTTGTGCACTTCTGAAGACACCGGCGAGTGTGTCTGGTCGAGGTGTAGCCGGTCTGCCAGCCCGATCGTCCGGAAGGCCATTCGAGCCCTGGCAACAGTGTTGCACCTTGCTGTGGGGATGACTCGGCCAACAGGCTCTGCTGCACCCTAATGTCCCACCCTGCACACTACACACTACACAATACACACTACACACTTCAAACTACACACTCCACACTCGATCCGGCCCAGCCCAGCCCAACCCAGCCCAGCCCAGTCGGACGAAGTGACCAATTGCTCTGCGGTTGCATCATGACTTGTGCAATTGGTCGGGCGATTCGTTCGTCCCGATGCGTGGGCGAGAGGGCGGGACAATTAGGACGGCCGGAGTCGCCGTTGCGGACAAAGAGCAGAAGTAATCGGGGAGGGTACCAATTGGGCCGAGTTGGCAGGGCACGGGGCAGAAAATGACCATAAACCCGATGCGACGGAGGCAGTCGACGTGAAAAAACGGAGACCACGCTTCGAGGCAGTAAATGGCGAGAAAAAGTGTCCACAATTAAGACAATTACAAGTCTTTATTCAAGGTCTGATAAGTGATTAAATCGTCGTTTACTACATAAAGTCCTTTTGGTCACGAACACTAGTTTCACATCTTTGCTTTTTTCCACGCACCGACTTCGGCATGTGTCGGCCGAACTGGCGCCTGATTGTCGGCCCTTAAAAGCGTCCTCGAAATTGCTCTTGAGAGACGGAAATTTTGGCGCTATACGTCGACTAAATGCTAGGTCGGTAGGACGATGCTGCAGAATTATGCGAATCGGTTGAGGTGAAGGAAGAATGAGTTGAAAAGTGCGAGGAAAAGTAGGAGGACGAGAAGCAGAATGAAAAGAAAACGGAGAAGAGGAAGAGATGAGAAAGAAAAGAAGAATATATGAAGGGGGAAATTAAGGATTACAATTACAAGGAGGAAAAGAAAAATATT